GAATACATGGCAACAGGCTGCACTAGTTCTGCCTTACAGTCTGCTACGGCGAGATCGGGGTGTGGCGGAAGAGGGACGGGGAGTATCTAACTCATATGCTCCAAAAATTAATTTAGATCCATCAATGAGAGAGCTACACACGGTAAAAGGAGCAAGATTTCCAAAAAACCAAAGTACACAGAATAGGGAAACATCAACAGGCACGGGCGCTCGTGCTTCCTGTCAACATTGTGCTATCACTCACAGCACTCCACAGTGTTGCCATCTTTCTTGCAAAAAATATACACATATAGGCAGAAAACTGATTTTTATTACAGACCATGGAAATATATAATTTGGCTGTCGCAAAAATAATATTTTCTGAACCTCACCAGAAATACTGCACTATTTTTGATTATATCAAAGCTTAGTTTTCTTCTCCGATCCCTTCTCCGCATCTCTCGCTTCTCCTGTTTTATCTGCTGCAATTGGCTACTAATAACGGAAGAATGAGGCCAAAGATTCACATCTCATCCTGTACAAGCCAGCCCGTCTATGCTTACAATTTCGTAGTAAAAAAAAAAGCAAGAGATGGCAAACGTGAACAACCGTATTTACGCAAACAAAGAAAATATAGACTCCAACTCTCAGCACTCAAATACGAAATTGGCACGCTGATATGAAACCTCTTTCAGCTGTTTTTACCCGTTTCGAGCGCACATGGAACGATGCAGCAATACGCTATTCATCATAGTTGTTGGCATAATTTCAACTAGAATTCCCCTACAATATGCTTTTTTTGCGACAACCCACTAGGCACAGAACAAATTATCCCTCCAGCAGAGAATAATTCCGATCAATTCGCGACATGATCTGGCCCAATTCACTCTCCTTGAAATCTGCAAGCCTGTACAGTGCTTCACTAAACTTTGTTGAGCCGCCTGACGCCAAATCGCGCGACGAGAAATATATCGTTACGCCATCAATAACAACGCTAACACCTAACGCACCTCGTACCAACCCACGCATCAATGCACTTCCAATTTCAATCTAAATTAATAATTTAAGTCAAAACGCAGGAGACGTGAGGTCCACATTTGAGTTCCACCATATCTTGCCGGAAAGTAAAAACACAGCAGAAACACAAATCCTTCATTTCGGGTCTAAGTGGCTGCTTTTGTGTGCCAATGATTTTCAACGAACCTTTTAAAACGTCAACAAAAAAGCATCCCCTGCAAGCGCTAACCGCATTTTTCCTCGACAACTGCTTCATACATTCACACTGAAACATGTGAACTGTACAAAAGTACTGCCGGCTTCTTCAGTAGCTGTCACACTCTGTACTGTTACACTCTGTATGCATTTAGACCGTTCGACACACACGTGGATGAAGTATTGATACTGTAGGCTTCTGCACATTTACAAATTTCAACAGCCTTTTCTTTTCAATCACCTTTTATTATCCGTAGTCACATACTAAGAACGATACTGTCCCCACGATCGCTGTTGGCATCCTGCGGAAGTGATGTTACTGAAATGTCCCCAAACACCAGGCATAGCAACGCCAGGTTCATCGAGCTTGATCTGTACAGCTCCAGTAAGTACTCACAATCTGCTCGATATGCTAGTAATTGCTTAATTTCTCGTGGTACTACTCGCTAATGTGCGACGTCCACTGATTATTGGCAAGGTGAACAACACGCCTGCCCACTAAATTTTGCTTTCTGCGTGGTTGCGATGAAATCCTGTACGTCCTCATCTGAAGGAAAGACTTAATGTTTATACGGTTACGAAATGCCATGCAAACGCCCTTCGCTCCATCGTAACAGTCAGGCTTTCCTTCTAAATTTTCATTAACGACCGTGTTTCGCATCCATTCGTCACTGCCTTCGCCAGATTGATACTGAAGAAGTGAACACAGTCCATGCAGTTGGATAATTTGAAGAAATCAATAATGCAATGCGATCTCCGTTACCCAGCACGCCCAATATATGCAGTCTCCGGCTGGAGTTTGTGACGCACATTTATTTCCTGCCCAGAACTGTCAACTTCTTCAAAGTCAAAACTTTCCCTATGCAGTCTTGCTGCGGATCTATCGACGCTTTTTTTCATCTTTACACCTTTAATGTGTTAATTTTCAGTCTCACTTTGTTACTTCGTGTATCAAGCTTCTGCAATACCTCTCGTGAAGTTACAATAAGAGCTGCTTCACCCTCAAGATATAGGCACTTCAGCTGCTTATCGCTGATCTGCCAATCACCCCCGATCCGGCCTCCAAAGTATCACCTTCAGGCATGAATGAGTGGTCCCACATGCCATCGAGCAAAAAATGAGCCTCGGTGGTATGAGATCGTCTTGGCTCATTTTTTGCTTGATGGCATGTAGGAGTATCACTTCTGTCGAGCAGTTTAGGTCAGTTTTCTAAATTCTTCACACCGCACCCATCAACCTATTCACTTACAAGAGCTGGCAGCATGGCACACAGCTCCAAGCTGTTGGATGCTTTTTCGCAATCAACAAGCCGGTAAAAAAAAAAAGTTGGTGCACTTTTATGCGTTCTAACAGCTGGATAGGTGTGAAAATGTAATCCGTCTTAATGTAACTGCTTCAGAATACAGATTGCTCTTTCAGTTGTTATTCATCGAGTTGTTCGTCAGTTACTGAATAATCCCTGCGGGCAGTTTGTAAGTATGAGATGATAAACAGATCAAGCTGTAATTCTTCATGTCTTCCTTTTCTCTTTTTCGCGCATCAGGACAGTTTTCGACTCTATCCATTTGCTGAGCTTTCATAGTCCTGGTCGATATTTGCCATCATAGTCCAGTCAGTGTGACTCTTCTCACTCGATTTTTCGGAGCCCGTCACGCTGAGTTATCACGTGCAACATCCTTCGTTTCTGGTACTGAAGGAGAATGCTTTGGAAATACCTTTGAGAATAAGCCCAGTATGGATTAGTCGACTTCGTCCTTTTTTTCGCATTTGGCGCAAGCCAAGTCCTTTTTTCCGGAATCAGTTATTGCCAAAAAGTAATCTACTGGTCTCCGCCAGCGTAAAGAGCCAGTCGCAAGTGCCGTGCTTCTCTTCATTCTTCCATCTCTGCCTAAGCTTTGCATTGGAAATCCCCGTAACAACCATATATATGCACAGAACTCTTTCACTCCATCGTCATCCCCAGTCAAAGTGACAGCCCAAAGTTATATGATTTTGACGATTTTATCCGAATTTAGCCTGAAAAGGCGTGGCAAAAGAAAAGTGCAAGGACCAACTCCTAAATAAACTTGACTCCTTCAACATTCCTCTGTCCAGTGCGGGAGTAAACCCGTCTTTCCATCCTTCTTGGATGTGGTGTATGCAGCCTTTCGCCGTGTTCCAAACATATCCAGAACGGTGAACCGTCGTCCTATGAATTTAAGAAGATGGCCCGTGAGTTCACTACAACAAATGCAAGCGCATACCGACAGGTCCAGGCTATGCTTGATGGTATCCGTCTCATACCTGAGATTTTTAGCAGCCCTTTGTCATTCGGTTGCCGAACCACCCCCTTCGACCTGTTTGAGAGGAGCGCAGAGTCTTGGCACCCACTTTTATTTCCCTTCGTTCATGCTACCCTCCATATTGCATTATACAGCACATACTACTATATTTTGCATACATGCAAAAAAAAAAGAAAAATTAAAGTGGGAACCATTTCAATTCCGACGGATCGTAAACCCAAAGCAGTGACACCTTTTGTGCCACCAGCACCAAGTTGAAATCCTAATGACGGAATATCGTTCGTAGCAGTATTCTCTGGCTGTGAGCCATCATCGCATGCTTCAAACTGAAATTGTAATTCATCAATAATACACCATTTTCGACATCCAGGTAAGGAGGGTTCTCGAAATACTCACAAGATTAGCGGCAACAGCGTTTTTATAGATATTTTCAATATCGTCCATTAGTTCAATATCGTATTTAGACATAAGTTCCAACTTCTTTACCATCTTTCGAAAAATAATAAACTCCGTTAATTGTGTGCCCAGATTTGAAGCTGTGGCAAGTCCAGCAACAGCAAGACCTGAATTTTGGCATGCTTTTTTTAACGTTTGTGAAATGCATTCAAACTCAGATGGCTACCGGCATCTTTACAAGTGACCTTCAAAAGACGTAGCCATTGGCGGCTCTGCCAGCTCAAGATTGCTACTTGCATGTGCTATAACTCGCGCACCTCATGGTCTCTTGCGGAGTATAAGAGAGGACGCTAACAGCACAAGAAACATATCCAAGCTCCACTGCGATCGCTTGAAAGACGGCGACGATAAAGTAGTAGGAGCTTTCA